CCATCTTCGCTCGCTCCCACTGACTCTCTTCTGCCAGGATTATTTCAGTAGCTTGTGTAGCTTTAAAAGCTGAGCAGTCACATCTCCTTGGGCTTCATACCTGCTCTCAAAGAGGAACATGGCCAATTTTTTTTTTTTCTTTCCCGCTTTCCATTAGAATTAATTGATCCATAATTGCACTCATAGAGGGGGAAAGTTAATAGACACACTAATAAATGCCAAAGCCCCAGAAGAACTGGCTCTCCAAGCCCCTGCCTGGAGCGACTCCATCTCCTCTTAATAGCGTCGCATGCAATTCCAGTGTGTGTGTGCGTGTTAGTATTTAGAGAGAAAAATCGAGGAGCCTTGGTATGATGGAAATAATTTCTTTTCCTCTCCCACATACTTTGTGCTTAGGAGCAGATGGATCCAGGCTGTTTACATCACGGAGGTCATACCTCAGCTTAACAGTTGGGGAACTGACTGTTGGGAGAGATGCGCATCGCAACCAGAAAATTGCTAAATCTGGGCTCCGGCAAACTTCTGACGGTGGCAAGTTAAACATACAAATGTCCTCCTGCAGCCTCTTCGCATTCAGGACCTGCCTCGAGCCTTTGATTGTTTCCCCAAAGAAAACTGCTACCGAGACGAAGCAAGGGCAGAGAGGCAGCTCTGCAGCAGCTCGCGTGCGTGAACTTGGAGAAGGCGGCTGGAAATCCCGAGCAGACCTCGTTATTCACCGGTGCAGATGGTGCGGTTTGCAAGCAGCGTGGCTCCAGGTTTCCGCAAGCGGGCTACCAGGGCTCGCTGCTCATGGCTGCGTCCCAAGTTAGAAGAGCGACCGTAACCTCAGCTTAGCTGGGCACGGCTGCCTGTCTTCCCCCAAAGCAGAAACATATGCCGGGGAAAGGTTTCCTTCGCGTGGAGGTGTTTCCATGGAGCTCATCCCCAAAGTGACCTTCTCCTCCCAGCTCAGCCCAGCCGCGGGGCATGCAGGGGGATCCAGCCAGACCATGCCTGCTCATCCAGCTCAGAAGGTGGGGGATGGAAAGGTCACCCTTCCTCTCCCGCAGCAGAGCCAAGTGCTCTCTTCCAGCACAAAGGGATTGCAAGAAGTGTTGAAAAACAATAAAAACTAAACAAACAAAGCGAGGAACGAAGCCCTTCTTGTTGCACTCAAGGACACAAATGGTCTGCATGCAGAAGTACCTTCTCCTGCCTCACATCGCGCCCCTCCGCGGCTCCAGCAGCACCTTTGGCAAGAGGATGCTTCACCACCACCTAAGTACTGCATCCACCAAGCTGCAGGGGATGCCTGTGGCCATGGCCAGGCAAGCGGCACACACGGGAGCCTTGCCATC